GAATTTAGAATAGCAAGGCTGAAAATCTTTTTCTTACTTGACTACACAGTATGGAAACCAGAGCATCAGTTTGATGTGATTTGCTGAGAAGTGTAACAGTGATGCACTATTCTCAGACTTCAGGAACTTATGCTGTGTGTACTCTAAGAACAGGAAATAGGCCTAAGCTGGGGTTGGATCCCACAAGAATATAAGGTTGAGACTTGGTAAAGAATTTCAGTTGCTCCAAGAAGCCCAAGCTAACCTTTATAGGTTTATATGTACACATGTATCTTTACAAGAAATCTGTGAATACCCACTTTGTAAGCCCCACCTTCCTCTCAGAGCTGCCTGGTAGGCAAAATCTATATGTCAAAGTTGGGGATGGGTGCAGTCGTTTTGTGCTCGCATTATACTTTAATCAGGCATGCAGCCATTGTAGCCTCAACTGCTTAATTTTGAACACTGTTCCATGGGAAATAATATTCATTGCTCCCAAGATCATTTGTCTCTAGAGATACATACATGTGATTACATAATGTCATATACAATTGCATAAACATCAAGGTACATATTTATGTATTTGACATATAGATGATTAATAGATGACATCAAGATTAGATAGAAAGATGATAGATATTCATCAGCTCTGAAATTAATGCTCAAAAAGCACAGTCTTGTCTTCAAGCAGGCCAGACCTCCTGAACAGAAGCTGGCAGGAGAGGATGCTTAGACAACAGTCATGCAGTGAGTCATCTGTGTTTTCACAACATGTTTCTACCCAGCACCCATAGCTATTTGTAGCCTGACAATAAAGGCCTTTTGCGAGCCATCTCTGAGTTGTCTGCCTTTAAAAGCAAGGATGTTGTTCTCAGTTGACTCATCTGAGTTGCTTGTGCTTTGGAGAATAACCCATTGCCTCATTTATGAAGGCATGTGATATAACTGCATATTGGTGCAGGTTTTTCCAGTGCTTTTCTTCTTCATCTTGGCCCAGTGTCTAGAAAGACAAAGGATGAGAGTAGACTTGAACCCTTAAATAAGCCCATTACATACCACTACTGGTGCCTCGTGGGAGCACAGAACAAGGTTGTTTTTTCATCAATATGCTAGACTGAAAATAACACCATCCTAGACTTCTTATGCATTTTGCTCACATCTCTTTACCTCAGCACTTAAAAACTGTATCTAGCACATGCTAGATACTTCATAAAGATTTGAAAAGGAATGAAATAACCTCTGGCATATACCTGTGCACTATTCTAAGACTTAGCACCTCTGCAATATAGATCTTAAGGGAAAAAAGGCTTCATAAGTGAGAGGAGGGAAGAGGATATGCTTTTGCATTTTCATTCATAGAAACCCTCAAAATGCTGTTTCATGTTTCAAAAAATTATCAGTGCTTACAAAAATCTATTAATAAAAAAATTAAATTATGTTTGGAAAATAGCCTTATGAGTTTATATTACTTTCAGTTCCCAAGCCCCGAGGGTAATAGTCAACAAACGGTTTGGGGAACTGCTTAACATTTTGATGCACTAACACTTTCATGCTTCTCCTAAAGTCTTCAGAACCCAGGAAACAGCTAATTCCAGCAAGGACTTTCCCAGATCATATACAACAGGGCGGAAATCCCATGATACTGACATATGTTATACAACAAAGTCTATTTTCCCAGGGACTCACTTGGAGAGAAACTGACTAACATGGGAGAGATCAAAACAAACTTGAACAGCTACTCCCCTGGTCTCAGATGCTACATTCTAAAGCTAAATCTGTGCTGGAGATCTTTCTCAGTGGTAGAGTACTTGCCTAGTATGACCAAGACCCCATGTTCAATCCTCAGCATCCCCCCAAATCTAAAGCTAAATCTTGTGAGAGTACAAAGATAATTCAATTAAAAGGCATTAAGAAAAAGTTCCATGAAAGTAACTAAAACTTTTCTGCACAAGTCTCTGTAGCTTCTAACAGAAAATGGTTTTGTTCTTGAAATCCTCTCAAAACCAGACTAGTGCAGCTCTCAGACCTCAGATAAGTTTCTTTGTGTACTGGATGGTGATTAATGCTGAAACTTAAACTGGTCAAATGCAGAGAAGAGGTAACTGGGGAGTGCTCAGCCATATATGGGACATCTGTATTATACCTACTGCCCCCAAGGCTCACAGACCACCAAGGAAGAGGGTGTAAAAGGTATTAAGAGTCAGAGCTTGGGGAGAACCAAAGTGAAACAGTCTTCTGGAATGACAGGACCCCTGCACTCATGAACTCTCAGCAGCTGTGATTACCAGCAGAAGACCTGCACAAGTACAAGCCAATCGACTCTGTGTTGTGGAGGAGGGAGGAGCTCATGAACACCATCCCTAGCTGAGGAGCTATTGACAACTAATGGCTGTTGGGGGAGGGAGAGCCAGCTTTCTTTACAGGTGGGGCCCCTGGTAGGTCAACCACACTGCAGTGAATGGCCCCACACCAATGAGTATATATGGGCAGCACAAATGGGGGCTAAGAGGGTTATAAAAAAAAAAGGACATGGAGTTGAGGGAAAAGTTGGAAGATGAGGGATGAATCTGGGAGGAGTTAGGGTAAAGAACAGGAATAATCAAAATACATTGTATACATGTATGAAATTTAAATTTAAAAAACTATATTTAAAAAGCAGAAGAGAAAGTAGAATAAATATAATGATAACTATTTAACAAAAGAATAAAGTATAGACCAAAGAATTAGGGAGGGCTTTCACACACATGCACACACACACACACATCACCACCAACACTATAGATGTGCTTGACTTCCTCTGCTTGTGTCTCCATGTATTACCTTCATGATATCATCAAGGCATTTCCCCAGTGCTTTCTTCTCCATTTGTTCTCCTGGATGATCTGCTTTAGCGATCATTATGTAGTAACCTACACGATCTAGGCCAAAGGCTTAACAATTCTATCACTGTTACAATTTAGTTTATTCACCCCCATCATATGAATGAAGCAGGCATGCTTCAGTGGCTCTGTTCTTGTACTTGGTCTCTACAACCCATGCCATAGGTCTCTTGGAAGTAACACTGATATCCTTGTTCTTTGATCCACACAATGTTATTTCTAAAATGCTCATCAATTGCAATATTTAAAAGTCACAGACTTTCCCTGAGAGTTTGAATTTTCAGTCTGTCTTTGAAGTCAGAAAATGAGGCAATATTGGGTATACACAAGAGAAGACACAATGAACACCATGTGCCTCTTTCCCTGAAGCTTCAGCTTTTTGGTCACGTAGTTCCTGTACTATGTACATAGCTCCTGTAAGGAAACCCAAGATAGCCATGTGAAGAAGCTGTGTGGAGGGTCCCAGACCCCAGCAGCTATAGACATACTAGCCTGGGCATCAGGCCATGTGAACAGAAGCCACAGGCAGCTTTAAACTCTGATGCTATCTGACTGCAATGTGAAGGACCAAAGAGAGAACCACTCAGGTGAGCCCATCAACCCCTCAACACACAAAACACAATACAAAATGATTGCTTTGAGCTCAAGTTTGGGGGTAATTTGCTATACAGTAATAGATACCACCTAATGGATAAGTAAACTTAATCTAAAATATGATTTTTAAAGTAATTTTTCCCTTGTTACTTGGAACAACAAAAATGTTATAGTCTACTTTCTTTGGCATTTAGAGGGGAATCTAGAGCACAACTAAACCCAGGGACAAATGGAGAAGCAGAACCAAAGTAATTTTTTGGAATTACCTGCAATCACACACACACACAAAAATAATAAAAAATAAGCTGGCTGGCAGTAACTGTCAACGTTGCATTGGCTGAACACCGAGAAGCAAGTAAGATAGAAAGGCAGAGTTCAAAGGGGTTTCATTTGAGGTTCTTTTCCCAGAAATATTTGGTTTCATTCACTGTGTGTTCAACAGTACTTTGTACAAATGCTTATTGATTTTAATGCTTGGATCAACTTAAAGCCATTTTACACACACCTTTTGTGGTGGTTTGAATGAGGACCATCCCCCGTAGGCTCCAAGTATTTGAACACTTGGCCCCAGTTGGTGGTACTGCTTGTGGAAGTTTAGGAGGTGCAGCCTTGCTGGAGAAAGCACTTCACCAGGAGCAGGCTATGAGAGTTCCTAGCCTGCACCATATCCAGTCTCTCACTCCATGTCATGTGCATGCTTGAAAATGTGAGCAGTCAGCTTTCTGCTCTGGCTGCCTCCTGCCATGCTCTCCCCCACACCATGATGGACTCTTATCCCTCTGGAACCGTATGCCAAATAAATTCTTCTGTAAGTTGCCTTGGTCATGGTGTTTTATCATAGCAACTGAAAAGTAACTAATATTCTGTCCTAATTGATTAGGGGAGTATATAACATCTCTTGTTAAAACTATAGCTATGATTGATGAGAAAGGAAGACAAAAACCATGTAGAAAGTAACCAGTAAATTGTGGTTACAGTCAATGATACAACATGATCCCTGCCAGAATTTTCACATCACAGTGAGGCAGATCTGGGTATAGAAGAAACAACTTCAGTTGGGACTCTAAAGCTGCATTCTACCGATAGACATGCAAATCAAACCTTGAGCAAACCACTCCAGGGCTTGATGACTGGATTTATTCAGGTTATAACAAAGCAGAGTCAGGTAATATCACATTCCCCAAAAGTGTGATCATCAAGTGCGAAAGATTGCAGTCCATACATTCCAGATACTGGACTCTAAACCTTGTGCACTGCACAGAATTCAGGCAGCTGATATGCTTTTGCCCAAATAGAATTGTAGTTCCTCATTTCCTCCTCTTCTTCTCCCCACTTGTGACTCAAGCCAGATTTCATCAAGCTATTTTTGTAATTACTAACATGCTGGAAATACAGCAACGAGCCAGAAGCAAAGCAAAACGCAGCATCCAGCAAAAGAAAGAAAATCACGCTGAGTAACTGAAAGGCCATCTGCTTCTTACAGAGCTGTAGGGGTGAGGAAGACAATCTGGGCTGGACTATTTGTGTCCTCCTTCAAAGCATACCCACCTGCATGTTGTCAGTGGCATCCCCGAGCAGTCCTCCAAAAGTGATAGCGTTGGTTACCGTTGCCAGATAAATGAAGAGAATTGCCGAAAGTGCCTGAATATTTAAAGCATCATAAAAATCACTGGCAAAAAATGGTGCTTTCCTCTTTATGTCCTTAATTAATCCACCACAGAACCTGGGCAGGGAGAAAGCAAACATGTGACCAAGTAGAAAATAAATAACCAGCAAATTCATCAAGACATAATTCACTAAACTGCAAAGAAGTTGGATTTAAAATGCTTGAGTCAAAGACAAGATACTATTTAAGATAGTCTCACTTAGATGAGACCAAAAAAAGCTGTTGAGAAATACACTTTCTTCTATCTCTTTTTCAGTTACCAGAATATGTCCAACATTCCCTAACGATCATCCAGTTGTTCTTTAGATGAGAGAGTTGTGCAGATAAATTAAAATCTTCCATTTTCTAAAGGTGACATCCAAATATGTTGCACATACATAAAGCCCTTTATGATCTTGTCACTGTCACTTCACACTCATTCTTGTGTTCATCAAGCACCTGAGATGCACATACTTTGGCATTATTTTGAGTGCTGGAGAAATAACAGTGAGTAACTCTGAGTAGCTCTGATCTCATGAGTTTACTTCTGAGGGACGGAAGGCAGATAGTAAATAGGATCAAGATTTAAGTACATCAGTAAAAATCAGGGAAAGATTAAATGTGGATGGGGGTTGCGTAGTTCTAGAGAAGAGGTATTGGAAATTATAGATAGGTGGCCTGAATGGCCTTTTGAGGAAGTAAATTTGGGATAAGGACCTCAAGGCGTGAAGGAAAGCCATGCAGGTATGTGACAAAGGTACAGGGTTCAGCCCATACATTAGCGCACTTCCCTCCTGACAAAACCTCACAATGCAGCCTTCCCATGCACAGCATGGTTTGTGTGTAGAATGTCCCATTCCAAAGCCTGACAACTCAGCCTTAGCTGAACTCAGTGCCCCACTTGTGCCTCATTGATATGCACAGACAGGGCTGCGCACTCACCATGTAGATATACTGCAGACACTCAATGCATATGGAAAGGGAGATACAAAAGAATGAAATAACAGTGTGATTAAATTCAACGTATCAAGTCCAATAACTCCTATCTGGGATATGAATAGAAAGTGAAAGGATATTCCTAGTGGAAATAATTTATAAAGAACTACACTCATGCATTGCATAATGACACTGTGGTGAATGGTGGACCATACACACAATGCTGGTCTCACAGAATAATGGAGATGAAATGAGACTACCACGTAGTGGCATCATCAGCCATAAGGTTCTCCGGTACAATGTTCTCTGTTCTTCAAGTGTCATGGTGATGCTGACATAAGCAAACATATTCTCCAGTGAGGTACATAAAAGCATAACATATATAGAAAACACAGTACACATCTTTGATGGAAGTCAATGGCTGTGTCACCAGTTTATGTATTTGCTACACGGTACTTTTTATTGTTATATTAGCATGTACTTCTACTACAAATGTTAAGTGCACTGTAAGAGAGGATGACATCTTACACTGGAATCAGCCTCATACATGTTGTTTTCCTCATATCTTGACTGTAAGAGGCCACACTGAGTAACCAGCAGATACTCGTAGGCATGTGTGAGTGTACTCTATACATTTTCATGATGACCAAATAGCCTAAAGACAGTTCTCAGACACATATTAAGCAAAAGCAGGGGGAAGAAAAGGCTTTTTTATTCATTATTCTTTCAGAAAAATAAAGTAATGTAAATAATTTCTTCTTCGGGAGAAAAAAAAAAGCCCAAGTGGGTCATCAAGAGAAAGAAAGAACTTCATTTCATTCGAATTCCAGTGCATATTAAAATTATATATTTTGGGTTTTTTAAATGCTACAGTGGTTTCCACATCTTCATGAAATGAGTATCCTACTTAAAATCTGACTTAACCCAAAATGAAAAAAAAAAGCCCATAATCTTATAATAAGAAGGAATTATCATAAGAAGTTAGCTGAAGGAAGCTGGGAAATCTGGTTCCCCAACTGCGGGTTAAGGAGACAGTTGCCTATGGACCACTCCTTTCCATAATATGTTACTCACTTTTGAGTAAATGTACAGGGAAGAGACAGCATCCTGAAGCCACCTGGGGAAGGTGGGTCAATCATCAGTCAGTCCTGATACCTACACTTACCTGCCATCAGCTTAACCCTCTCTCTGACATCCAATCAGTCGCTCCATTGGTCACTGTACCTGGAAGTCAAGCTCCTAAGTCCTCTTTGTCTCAGTCCCCTCTCCTAACCCGCATCTTCAACTGTCTCTCACCTGTCTTAGCTTTTCCTCAAATGTTGCTACTCTCTACACAGCATTCTCTGGCCACTTTGTCTAAAAATGCAATACTATTGATCACAAAAGTTCTTATTCTTTTGTCATTTTCCTCATAAAAATATTACTGCATTTATTTATTTGCTTAGTATTTCTCTCCCCTCTCTGCAAAGTGAGGCCCATAAGGGCAGGCGTCTGTTAATATACTGTGGCATCTCTGGTGCCTGTGACTAATAGATGCACTATAAATATTTGTTGGCTGAACGAATGAGTAAATCAGTAAATAAAATGCTGAAAGTGGATTGAGAACAAGTAAAAGAAATTTAGATCTAAGGAAAACCTTATCACGAATGGCAAAAGGATCCGTCAGTTACCGGCCAGTTCGCTGCAGTTCTTCACAATCGCCATGTCCCCCTCCTCCATGTCCTCCATCATGGGGGGTGTCCCCATTCATCTGAACATTCTCTCCACCTGAGTACATGTTCTTTCTAAGAAGACACAGGGTGCAAGTAGACATTAGTTCATTGTAGTCATTTGCTTGTTTAGCTGCATCATGCTAATGGAGACAGGGAATGAAGGCCTTTCAGGGAGAAAGAACATGATTTCTTTCTTCCATCCTAACAGACAGTTCTTAAAGTGTTATAGCCAGAGGGAGACAAATGTTTAGATGAAAAAACAGCTGAATTAACTACATATCTTATAGGAATGAAACGTTTCACCTGGAAAATAAGATTTCTAGGATATAGTTTCTCCTACTACCTCTACTAAATTTCTTAACCTTGTAAATCTACAAGGACTCTACTTAAGCAAATTGATCTTTCCACATAAACATATAGAAGTCCCCAAAATATCCCTAAAGAACATCCATGATGCATTCCAATATCATGAGCTAATCTTGCCAGTGATGATCATGGAAGAACATTAAAACATGTAATACTTATTTCAGTGTCAAGGAAATGTAAAGCCAAGGCTCATCAGCAATTCATTTGAGGAAATATGTCCAGGGGTCTAGGAATATTACAGTCATGCTTTCTTTTCCAAACAGAACCTCTCTCTCAGGGGCTTCCTAGTCCCTGAATATTCCCAACTGCCTAGCACTTTACCTTTTGTCAGATGACGGAAGACTCTTTGGAGGCTCTATCCTGATTGCTGGGTCCCATTCCCCAGGGGGAAGGACAATAACTTCATCCAGGAACTCGTCAATGCCAGCAATCAGGTCATGCCTGTCTTTTGCTTTATAAGCAATGTCATGGAACACCTGAAAAATGGAGAGAGATGTGTTGATCCAATGAGAGAGCTTTCAGCATGCTTCACACCACATCAAGCCTAAATAACTCAATACATAGTCCTCTGATATTCCTATAACTATTCTCTCATATTTACTAATAGTTGATCTGCTCAAAATATTTAGATATGATCTCACTGTCTAACCAGGGGTGTGAAGAAAAGGCATTTAAGTGTTTTTTGGGTTTTTTTCTTTCCATCAAAACTATAAAATGGGATGTGTTTCAGGTCCCATATCACAGATTCTGTGGAAGCTAGATGAAAATTCTTTGAAGAGCTCACTGAAAGCCATTCCCTAAATTAAAAATTACTTGACAACTGACTGAAAATTTTAAAAGTTCACACTGACTTTTTAAATCAGGCTAAGACTCACATTCCCCAGTTCTCAAACACAAATAATGTGAGCTATTTAAAAAGAAAGAAGGAAGCTAAGTTGGCAGGAAGCAAAGGGATTTAAATAAGTGATCATCTGACTACTTTTTAAAATGTATGTAAGTGTATTGCCTGCATGTACGCAAGTACACCTGTGCATGCAATGCCCACAGAGACCAGAAGAAGGCAACAGATTCACCTGGAACTGGAGTTATGAATGTTGGTTAGCCCCCATGTGGGTGCTGGGAACTGAACCTGGATCCTCTGCAAGAGCAGCTAATGCTAACTGCTGAGTCATCTCTCCAGCCCCACATCTGACTATCTTTCAGAAAAGTAATAGCTAAGTCACCAAAGACAACAAAAACTTCAAGTCTTTTGTACACAGTGTGAAAGAAGGGGTTTCAAAGTGGCCCCCCAACCTTTTCCTCAACCATTCCATTCTTGTAACCAAGCTGATGATCTGAAATTCTTCATGAAAGCTAAGCCTTTCATACCTTGGAAATTAACGTTTTTATCCTCCAGAAGAGAAGATGGCCCCTGTTGAACACCCTTTATTTATGCTAATCCTTTCTACTATATCTCTTCTCTTGGAAAAGAATTTTTAAGAACTATCAATCAAATAGCATTGGTTTGCAAGTTCTGGGTTTGAGGAGAGGGCAACACAAAGGGCCAGTACATCTTCTGTGGCAGGCATATCATTTTACCCTCACCTCATTTTCTCTGGCAGTTAGTCAGAGATATACATTCCCTGCCAGCCTTGCAAATAAATGTTGACAGTTTCAACTCATGAAATATAAGAAAAGGGAAGTTCTAGAGAACCAATTGAGAGAGGTCTTGAAAAAATAATAAAATCACTGTAAATCCATTACATGCAACCTAAGTGACTCTAATTGATATTTGAGAGAAATTTTAGAAAAAGCTGTAAATACACAAAATTAAATATACCAACCACTGCAATGAGAGAAGTAAATGTTCCCCTGAGGGACACATAGCATAGCTTTGCTTCAGTGCTTAGACCCAGAAGAAAGCAAGTGCCTGAGCAATAACCACACAGACCTTCTACACTAAGGAAAAGAGCCTCCAACTCTCCACTTGTACATGGAAGAGCTGACAAATCAAGACATGATGTAACAGCACAATATTTGGGAAAATAACAACACAGAAAGTCTATAAAGCAGAAACTGATGCTCCTATATTTCTCTATCATGAGGGTCATTCAGAGTTTTATCATAACTAAGTATACTTCCTAATATCCAAGCTACTGTGAGGGTGGATGAAATGGAAGTTCCAAAGCACAAGTTAGTAACAGGAGCTAAAGCACCATACATGTTTATTATGCCTTCCCACAAAACAAGAAAACCATAACAACCTTTCTGATACTCAAGAAAACTTATCTACTTACTGTGCATTATTTCATAAAAATCATTTCTGATACAATATAGTACATGGACATCTGAATCCCAAGAATTAATACGTTAAAGATTTTTAAACATATAGATAATACAATCACCTTGAACTTTTTCAGTAATATTTAACCATCATTTTAACAACTGAAAATACGTAAGGATCAGATCAGGGCAACTGCATCTTGACCACTTCAGCCACTGACCACTTGTTTGTGTTAAGAACATTCAAATTTCTCTTTACTAGCTATTTTTTTGCAATCTATAATTGTTGCCAACCATCATTACCCCACTCTGTCTCAAATTATTCCAAATTATACAAATGTATTGAAACCCATACATTAACCTTTAAATAGGTACAATTATGTGCCAACTAATTTAATTTTTTTGAGACAGAATCTTCCTGTAGCCCCAGTCAGCCTGGAACTCTCTATGTTGACCAAACTGACCTTTATCTTACAAAGATCCACCTGCCTCTGCCTCCCAAGTGCTGGGATTAAAGTTGTGGGCCACCATACCTGGTTTACTTTATTTTAGTTTTTAAGAAAAGAATTCACATTTTCTAAAGACTTTTTGCTTAGAAAAAGGAAAATATGTTTTATTCCAACACGAAGTTTAATCAAAACAGTAACAAAACACATGCCTTACTTTTTGAAAACTGTCCTACATAAGGAAGCTTACTTGTCACAAATGACTGCTTGTCATTTTATGAAGAACCACAGTAACCACATAATTCTAACTGAATAACATGTGACAGTCAATTCACAGCACAGACCAACACGAACAGGATATTGGCAGATCCCCATCTTCCTGGTTCCCTACCTCATCAGACATCAGGGTGGCAATGGCTCTTCCAATCTCATGGTAAGACTTGGCCTTTCCCTTCGGCCCTAGGAGAATGAACAAGAACCTAATGGAGAGGGAGAGAAGCAAAGGCTGTAACATGTCTCATGAAGCTCAATGAACATAACACCTGAAAAACATTTATCTTAGTTCACTAAAAGTTCAGGTCTAGAATTCATCCTGTGTATGCATGTATGTGTGTTCATGCACTACTGTATGCATTCACATGTGAGTGTAGAGACCAGAGGTCAACATCGGGTGTCTTCCTCAATAACTTTCCACCTTATTTTTTTGAGACAGGGAGTCTTCCTGACCCTGAAGCTTACCTACTCAGTCAAACTAGCCACCAGCAAGCCCCAGTGATTCTCCCATCTCTGCCTCTTCTGTGCTAGGATTACAGTCATATGACACTTCTCCAGGCTTTTGATATGGGTGCGGGAGACCTGAATGCAGGTGTGCAAGTCAAGTACTTACAGACTAACCCACCTCCCCAGCCCACAGAATCCATCTTTAAAACAAATAGATTATTCTGTGTGGTAAAAAAGATAGTCATTCACGCCATCACAAAACACAAGATATTTTTCAGTTTATTTGGAGGCAAAGGAAAATTAGCATGGAAATCTGAAACCTCTTCACTGGGCAGGAAAAGGTCTACCTAATGTGCTTCATGAATTTTCTGTTTTAAACTTCCTTCTTTTCTATCTTTCTACTGATTTTGGAAGCTTTAGAACAAACCTATTAAGGACATTAGCCACAAAGACTTGGTATACCTTTGAATTTCTTCACCTTCTCCTTACCCAGTGACAAATGCTCCTCTCTAATACCATAAGGAAATATTGTTTTTTAGCTGACTGGGAGTCAGCACAAACCAAACCCTTAAAAGTGAGCCATATGCTGACAGCCAAAGGAGGAGAAATATGAGAGAAATAAAAAATGAAGCACCATCCCCAGGCAGTTAAAAGCCTTTTGTGGATTTCCCCATTTTCCTTTCCAAATCTGTTTTCTTGACAATGTACAAAACATTGCTCAGGAGAAAATATGTCCTGAAATAAGCAATAATGAGCTTGTCATCTTAAAAAGAATCCCTCACGAACCACAAAGGTAAAGATGTGTGTCTCCACCAGGGAAGAAGGAGCCTGATAAGTAAGTGAATGTGAAAAGAATACACCCAAAGTGGCTCTGGGTAAATCCCTACCTGGACATTGATCATCCTTACCGAAGTGGGAAATAGTGAGGACAACAAGTATGACGGCATGTTTGCTTGCGGCTTCTGAAAGCCTGCAAAGCAGTACACACTCATCACTTCTTTAAATTCCCATGCAACACTCCTAGTAAGGAAACTGGGGGTAGAAAAGGTAGTGAGCGAGCCCAGGGTCTGTGCTTAGTAATGGGCAGGGGCTGCAGATGGAGCTCAGTGGTAGAGCATGAGGTTGTTGTGCATGATTCTCTGGGTTCAAGCTCCTGCATCAAAAGAACAATAAAATCAGTAAATAGCAGACTGTAGGTAACAGGCCTCCTTATAACTCATTCCTTTCACTGGATTTCTGCATCATCACCTGCTCTTCTGATTCACTGGGGCTGCAATTCAGCAGAGAAAATCTATCTACCAAGAGCTTTCACAGGACCCTCCTGGGAAAGGAATCGTGGGTGCTTACTTAGCTTAAGGACAAGAAAGAGTAATCAAAATTTTATGGCACCAAAATGGTTTACCACATCACTTCAACTTTTATTTTTACTTATTTAGTTCTATAAGTCATGTTAAATAGAAAAGGATTGACAGCAAATACTCTATTTAGAAAGTATGGCCCTAAATGTGTAAGTACTTTTCTTTATTTATAAAATTCATTGAAAAAGAAAAGTATCATAAATTAAGAGTCTAACAAAGGTACTTAAAGTTTGAATACTCAGATTGTGTTATAAGAATAACCATAAAACCATTTAGCACTTGTTTACTTAGTAACCTGTTGTAGCATAGAGTGGTAGGCTCACCGTCAACTGTTGTCATGGTGAATGAAACAGCAAAAGCAGTCAGCAGGCCTGAAAGCCTACTCCAGGATGAAAGAGGTCACTACTACCATTGCATTTTAATTCTTCCAACACTGAAATTGACACTAGAATTTTTCTTCCTCTGACACTAACCACTTCCTATATAGCAATGTGCCACCACACGTATCATTACAAAGTGCTACTTCATGACAGTAAAGTGGTTTTTCTAAAGAGAATGATTACTGTTTTTAGGGAAACACATGCAAAAAATATTTAGCCACTAAAGCAAGTCCCATTAAGAAAAACTAGTATTAGTTACACTTGCCAATTCTACTTGCCTGCTACAAAGAGCCAGCTTCATGGCAGTAGTAGGGCATAGTTTTAGGCTAAGTAGGCAGATGTGGTGCTGTAAAATAAAAATGTCTGAACACTTGGTTCCTTTGTTTAGTACATCTTTAAATAATGGGTATCTCACACCTGCCACTTTTTACTGAACCTAAATATTAACTTTTTGAACAGTGCATAATATCGAAAACTATGGAACTATATCAACTGAGGTATGAATCAATTACCAGATTGTATATATGACAACATATATACTATATACTGTCTTCTTAGTGAGAAAGCACTCCTGATCACTAATAGTCCTCAAGAAGAGACAGGCAGAGGGTTGGAAACTATTCTCAGAGCTGGCAGAGTAACAGAGCCACCATGTTAAATGCTATAGCACCAGAGCATAAATTTTCTATAATGTTTACTGGTTGGTTTCTAATAGGTAGTAACAAAGAATGGATGTAAACAGATTGGTGATAACTATAGCATATATTATAACAATAATCTAGTATTTGAGAAGTATATTGGTTCACTAACATGGATGCAAAGGTATCTAGATTAAAATAAAAGACACTTATTTGCTAATGAAATATTACTAAATGCCAAGTAGAAACAACATGGTGACAGAATTAAAATTTTCTTATTATTCCAGTCAGCAACAATTAAACAGTTCTATTCTCTGAAACTGACCAACAGAGCAACTCTGAGTATGGATGTGCAACAGGGGCATCACCTTAACTCAAGAGTTTCAACTGTAGAAAAGAGAACATCTTCTTGCCCAGATACCTTTGCTGAAATGAAGATGGGAGACCTGAGGACACTGACCACTCAGAACAAGCCAGCACACTGATGGTCCCTCTGCCTAATGTCCTCTCCTCTTTCACCCTCAAAGAAGTAAAAGCTGTTACAACTTTTACGATGGAAGTACATCTTGCCAAACTCAGCTTTTATAATGTACTAAAAACTCCTTTCATGACCCAAGCTGGTTTCTGTCAATGGTCAGATGTTATTTTTAACCAGAAGCTTTTTTCCTTATTAACAAATTAGGGTAAACACATTTGTGTGGCTGGAATGGAACAGCCCATGTTGACAGCTCAGAAAAAAGAAAAAAAAATTCATGTTACTGAGTTATTTCTATTCACTCACAACTACAAATGTCAGAGTTTGAATTTGTAACCATTCCCAGTTATCTCTAGAATCTTCATAAGGTCCTTTTCTACTTTTATGAGCTTTTTCACATAACTAATTATGCCTGCAGAGGATGCCTCTGGCACTCTCCACAGCAGAAAGAAGCACCAGATGATCCGTGTCCGGAACCAATGGTCTATACTCACATTCACATTCACAAAATAATTGTAGTCAGAACGTGCACAGTATCAGAAAAGGACTGAATCTTCCTAAACCACTATATCTTTTCAGAAAGGATGTACCCCTCCTTTCCTGATAGATCATAGCTATTTCTAGAATAATCTCAGCATGTACCAATCCCTTACTCCCTTCTCTGAAAACAGTGAATCAAATGACCCATTATTCATACTGAACAGCTTTGAAAAATGTAGCTAAGCTATAGCTTTCACAACAGACTCATGAGGACCACACACCATCATTGCCACCTTACATGTAATGCATGAATGCATGTATATACAGAACACAACTAAGAAGACCACCATCACAAACCCTCTAACAACATTTTAATGATTAAATACAAACTACTTCTCATGGGCAAATGATAATAACATGCAATAAGAATTAACTTATAGAAATGCTAAAGGGTAAGCATTAGAATATCGAGAAGACTAAAGCTAACTGACTAATCATTTGCCTTGGAAGTAAAGATCAAGATAAGAAAAGGGCAAATTGATGTAGAGTTCTCATTATTCTAAAGCATCTTATTCCAACCCATTCTAGGCTAGATATCTCTCTAAGTTGTCCCTGAAATATGGCCTGAATCAGAAACATGAAGTTCTGTCTCCAACAGCAGTATCAACTCTGTCCATTGCCTCCATTCCACAGCTGCAAAGTGGCAATGTTTATCTGGTATACATCTCCATGAGTGGATGCAAAATGACATCAAGAAAAGAGCCTACAAGATACTAGAAACATCTTAACATAACCTACCAAGTCATCAGACATCAAAGACTAGTGTTTGTTTGCTTTCACATGAAAAGTCAGAACCACCCCTACGCAGACATCCACCCACCCACCCAACTGATAGTTACAGAACTGCAAGTAGACAGATGCTGCAACAGATCATAAAAGCAAAGTAGGTCAAGAACTTTGTGAGCTCTATCCAAGGAAAAGGACCCAGAAAGCCAGCCTTCTGCAAAGGTCCACAGTAGTAAACTGTTTATTTGGAATGGTAATAACAACAACAATAATGGCATGACTTTTCTCTACATTTAAGGGGAAAATGACCATGAACGTTGAGTACAATGATAGCTTTGCAGATGTGCTTGTAGTACACGAGAGTAGTATGCACATTAAACCCCACCTTGGAGCACAACTCAGTCCTCCGCAATTCCTCATGGTATTTCCTTTATTGAATTTCACAGGATGTAGCCATTGTAAACGGTCTCATATTACTCACAACCAAAAACAGCTAAGGAGACTCCTTACTCAGTGATTACAGTTTACCCTGCTTCTGAGGACTACAAATGGATAAAACTGTTTCCTGGGGAAATGCTAATATGCAAGGATATATTGTTCAGAATGCTACCCTGAAATCATTTTTATGATATTATTGAATTACATCCCTTCAAATTGCTTTGCTCCTCTTGTTAGTGAAATGATGCCATATTTCACCTCTAAACTAACAGTACTCTCTGGCACCAAAAAGAAAGAAGAAAAAGAATGAGCCAGACAGGAGCAGATGATGAGAGGCAAAAATGCTTCTGATTTTCTACTCAGTGCATGCATATGGTTGCTAAATAAAAAGCCTTTTAAATATCTTTTATTTGTAGCTTCTAAAGAAAAATGGTAATAAAAATGAAAAGGCAAAAGCAATTTTCTTTAACACTTCTTGGCATGTTTTCTCTTTCAAGCCCCAGTAAAGTTAGTTCAGAGACATAAATAAAGCCATTGGGGCACCAAGCTGGACTTCATCCATCCTCTGAGTCAGCAGCTTGCCAGGTGATTGCTCAGATAGAACTGCAAGGCTCCACTGGAATGTTACAGAAAACAGAAATCATGATAATCCCATTAATTGAATAAACTGTGATCATCTCCCTTCCCCTTGTCCAAGGTCTGCCCTCGATATTTAAAAGCAGGAGGCAGGGGAAACACCTGCATGCTCTCCTGCGTGACAAAGGTGAAGAGACTTCAGGACATTTTCTTCTCCTTTTCCTCCTAACCTGGCTTAGAACAAACCTTGAGCCTCTCGTCACTGTTGTTGGTTAATCATGCTCAGACCAACAGTGCATATGAGTGCACTGAGGAGCATTCACAGCCCTGTCTGTTCACATGCAGAAAACTAAGGGAAAAAAATCACCTATCACTGCCTTGGGACCCACCAAAAGCAAACTTCTTTCAGACAATAATTTCCTGATGTCAACCTGAAGCTACAAATTTCTCTTTAATCTCTCCCTCACCACAAGTCCAAGTGACATTTTAGCTTCTTTTCAATGTGCTGCCCAAGTCAAGCTTCCTAACTTTTAAGCAGCCTCAGAAGGAGGTGACAGGATGACTTCTGACACAGGGAACAGTAGACTGAGAATGTGACTGTGACAGGCATGCCTCCTTTTGAAGTGGAAATGTACATAATGTGACACATACAATGCATAGTATACAAACTGAAGTGCATCAAGAGACTACTTAAAAATTTTAGGAATATGATCATTTAAATATGTGTATGTATGTGTTTGTGGGATGTATGTGAGCAAAGTAATTTTCTTATTAGACACAGAGTAAAGGGAAGATACTATAACCTCTGAACCATTTAGTAACTGTATTGCTTTGGAAAAGATACTTAAACTCAGTTTCTCCATCTTTAAAATATGGATACTACAGTTTGCATGTTAAAAGATTATTATGATTAAATAAAACACAAGAAGAAACTAGTACATAGCCCAATCAAGCATTGTAACTGCCATTATTATTACTACTCGAGTGGCATGTAATTTGAGAGCATAAATGCCAGAGTTAGGCATTCTTTCAAATGAAACCTCTTGAATGCACTGTTTCCTCATTCTGCTGATTCTCTGACTTAAGAGGAAGAGCATTTTCCTAAAAGCACTCCATGCAGCCTAGTGGTGGGAGAGCAGCTTACCTTGTGGGCACAGGCACCTCAGTCAGAGCACCCAGCATGACGGCCTGCTGTAGCCGAACAAAGGCAATGAAAGGGGTATCCAAGAAGTCGACCTCCCCAACCAGCACGTTGGACGCTTCTGCATCACGTGGCAATTTTTTCATAAATTTATTCTTCAGCTGCATGTGAAAGGCCAAGAAAACACAATTTATTTCCAGGCAGAGGAACAAGAAAATATACCACATACATTACTCATGGGAAGTCTCTTTAAATGAGTCTTCACACAGCAGTACATAGCTCAATGCTTTTATGTTTAACCATTAAATTATAGTAAATATTTGTCTGTACCTTTGAAAATATCAAGGATGTAATAACTATATATATACATACATATATATATATGCCAATATGTAACATACCCTGATTAATTTATTTATTCACTTACTCAATACAAACTATTAAAAGCATACTATAAAGACAGGCAGTGACTTAAATCAGAGGGATAGCGGGAGGACAAACTATTCCATTCTCTACTTAGGCTCATATTTCCTTGAAGAAAATAAAGTACAATTTCAAGTAGTGATAATTGCTAAGAAATAAAATAAAGAGGTAACTATTTTTCACAGAGTGGTCAAGGAGGGGCTCCAAAAAATTACATTTGACAGAGGAGTAAAGGTACATGCCATGCAAAGACCTGGGCTAAAACATCCTATGTAAAAGAAGGAAAATGCAAGGCCTTTGAACAGGAAGGAGGTCGGTGGCCAAAGAAGTAAGAAGTGTGGGGAGCTGAGGGACAAAGACTAGGAGACTAAAAGGAAGTGCACGTGTAATGGAGAACCATGTCCTAAGGTCCTGAAGGTCACCAAGAGGAGTTTGAGAAGGTCAGAAGGTGGAGAAGGAAGACATGACTTGGGAGTCATCAGGAAAACAGTGTTGAAGGTCACAGAACAGGGTACCACCACCCTGGATGTGAACATCAGCAAAGAAAGCAGGAAGACCCACGTCCTGGGCCACTCCATCTTTGAAAGGAATAGAGGACATTGTGGAAAACACTGAAAAACATCAGTGAAAAAGAAGAGGGAAACCAGCATGCCCCCACCAGCCAGGGAAGAAGGGTCCATAATGCAAATATGTCTGCAGCTGTATCCTAGGCTATTGAAATGTCAAAAAAAAAGATGAGAATTAAGAGTGGACCAATGAATGGTGGCCACACTGGCAAGTTTTGATAGAGCTGTCACGGCAGACGCTAGGCTACCACATGCACAACGAAGTTGAGGAGTGGAGGGGGGGATAGAGATGGCAATTTTGAGAAATACTGCTGCAAAGGAAAGCCGCGAATTAGAGAGACCAATGAGGGGAGAATAAAACAGGACATTTTTTTTAGAAGGAGTGAAGACAGCCCTTTAGAAGATGTAAAGAATGAGCTAAGGGAGGCAAATCACTGCTCCAGGAAAGGTGAAGAATAATTACAAATAACTCCCTACCAAACAACCTGGATCCTATGAGTGGGTACAATATCCACACAACAGATAGAAGAATCAACTGTTCATAGGAACACAGCTTACAGTCCCACCAGGAAAAGCAGACTGCATGGGTTCAAACGTGGGTGATTTGAGAGACTTGAGAGGTGGTGATGAGGGCTTCTGAGGACTTGTATTTTTGCACTGCAACACAAGTGAGCTGATGGTGAGGGGGAGGGAAGTGTTTGGAGGTTTGAGGAGAGATGAGAGGGTGTAAAGCCGTTTTATCAGTGTGAAAGCTGCTGGACCCAGTCAATTTGAAAGACTGTCTTAAAGGTATCATTTGTTCACATAACTCAAGGAAATCATTTCAGTAATCATGGAACAGAGATAAATCTTACAAGACCACACAAAAGATATGGACTTGTGATACGTACTTTTTAGCCACTAGAAATGTCTGCCACTTCAAGTAAAAAGCACCAAGGAGCTCAATCGGTTCTGACATTGATCCCTGCTGAGTGGTAGGCATGACTCAATATCCCCAATTAGTAAGAAGGCTGTATCATTTTATTTTCTACTTAAAAGTTTCTTAATTAGGGAAAATAAATGACATGAAAACTGATGTCTAGAGCTCTACTACCCTCCATTGGCTTTCATCACCTCTTATGTAAAAGAAAGCTGGAAGATTAAAAAGCAAAAATGTTGGAACTAAGACATTAGTGGAAGTCTAAGTAAATAAGTAAAAATAAAAGTGAAGTATATATTCTTAGATCTCAGGAACATGGCCACTTCTAAGCAGTATGGACTTTTCCAAATTTCCTATCACTCATCAAAGCATATTAAATGTTATATTTATAATGTCGTTTATAAGAAAATTTTATAGAACTAGAGATCATCATAGTAAGTGAAGTAAGCAAGACTCTGAAATATAAATATCACATTTTCACTCATATGATTATATGTGGAATCTTAAGAGTCTCATACTTGCTGTTAAAAAATGTCCTTCAAAGCTCAGCATAGCATATTTCACCCCCTTAGCCCACTTCCCTGGGAATTTCATTAGTACTCATTTCTGAATCACAATTCTGCCCAGATGCTTCCAAGAAGGTAAGAGCAATTTGTGGGAAATAAACATAATTCATCTGCAATTAATAATATGAGTGGGAGAAGCTGATCTTTTAGTACTGAAAAACAGATCGATAAACCATCAAAACATACAGAATATCCAGTCAATTAGATACTCCCACAGTGCCCTGTGGTTCTGTAGCACCTTCATCAAGACCTCTTTACTCCTTACTCATACTCAGAAGTTAGGAGTTAAGGCAAAACAAAACAAAGTTCTAGATTCTCTAAGGAGAGACTATTGTAAAGACATGTTCTTTTAGTTTAGCATTCCCAAACTGTGCTTGCAGAATTCTAGTATTCCACTAGAAACAGTAAATATTCTAAAATAAAAATATTTAGAGCCTCAGGTACTCCCAGAACTGTCCATAGATGTCCATCTTCTCAATTTGCACATAATCTTGGCAGGATTTTGTCCAGTCTTCTATCTTTAAAATGCTATCCTCTAATGCTGATGACTCACAAATATGTATCATCAGCCAAAACCTATTCCCTGGACTCCAGACTGATAACACCTGCAACTGGATTTCTAACACACATATCAAACATACATCCAAATTAGCCCTTCTGAAAGTCCCTGAGGCCAGCTCTCCCTAAAGTCTCCCCTGTCTGGAGAATAGCAATTCCATTCTTCCACTGCTCAGACTCAAGCCCTTGGTGCCATCTTCAGCCCTTCTTTTTCTCATACCCAGGTCCACTCCATCAGCAAATCCTATTAGAGCTATAATCACAGCACACCTAGAATCCCACTGCTTCTCCTCACCTTCATTGTCACCATCCTGATCTAGGCTTGGGTCTTTCTCTTTATAGCATTGGCTTCCCACCTGGATCACCAGCTTCTGCCCTTATTCCTCAACTCTTCACCAAAGCCACACACAGGTCAGACACACCAGACGCCAGATCATGTATTGGCTACCATTTCATTAAGTGAAGCCAAGGCCTTCAGGAGACCCCTAAATCCTAGCATCATCTAGAGGTCACCAGATCCATATCCTGATCTTCTACTCTCTCCTGATCTTCCTTATGCCACAATTCAAGGCTCCATGTCCTTACTCTGATGTTCCAGGCCTGCTTGGCTCACATCTCTTACACCTGCTATTTTCTCTGAGGAATGTCCACAGGACTCCCTTCCTCACACCCTTTAGTATCTACTAAAAGTCACTTTCTCATCAGGAGGCTTTCCCCACTCACGAGTCAACTCTCCACTCCCTCTCCCCACAGACACTTCTCATACCTCTCTTGTGCTTTAGTTTGTGTTCCTTGTTTTTAATCACCATCAAACAAATCATATGGACTATTTATCCTTTTATCACCTGCCTCCCCATTAGAAGCTCCCTGTAGGTGAACTGCCATTTAGTGTGTTCAGCATTAGGTCTCTTATGCTTCAAGAGTATGAGTGCCTGAGAAGAAAAGTTCAACAAATTGCTGTTGAATGAAAAGGACAATTATTATTTCTACTCTTCCCCACACAATTTCCTCTTGACTTTTTGTTTAACCTTTTGTTGGGGGGGGGCATGTGTACATGTGGAGGCCAGAGGTTGATGTTGATAATTATCTTCAATTGTTCTTGCACTTTATTCAGTAAAATCTCTCTCAATCAAACCAAAAGCCCACCAGGCTACCTAGTCTCACTAACCAGCTTGCTCTGGGGATCCCCATCTCAGCCTTCTTGAGGCTGAAATCATAGGCAGGCTACCATCGCCACTTAGCATTTCTGTGGGTTCTTAGGATCTGTGTTCCAGTCCACATGCTTGCCTTAACCATGGAACCATCTCCACAGTCCCCTTCTTAATCAGTTAGGCACATCTCACTGAGGCTATATAAGTAAACAAAAGATCTAGATACGGGCCCTGTTAGGTAAAATCCTTCCCAACAATAGTGACAGGTGCAAAGGATATACATGATCCACACACAAGAACAAATCTTTTTGTATTTGTAAAACAAAATCAACATTCTCCATGTTATTTGAGATTGTTCCCCCTGTGTTGAAAGGAACACGTCAGGACTTTAACACCAGAAAAGAATAAGGTCAGCACCAAAGCCGAAGCAACAGAAGCAGTAGAGAGAAGTAGCTGAAGAGAGGGATGGTTACATCCCAGTCCCGGTACTTCATGTCCTACAGCCCTTGTAAGAATCCTTCTGCAGTTTAATAAACCATTACATCCCCTTTCAGGCTTAAATTCATCTGAAGTGTATTTCTATCCACTGCAGAGCCCAGCTACAATGGTGTATTTGTCAGATAGATTTGAGGAACACCAGGTTAAATAAAATTAAATAAGCTTCTGTACTATAGACTTTCTCAGAGCTTTTAGTATGCCTGTGTGGCTCAAAATGCTTTATCTCTCAGTAGAAGAACAGGCACATTATGGTATGAAATCAGATTACAAATGCTGCTTTAGATAGAAACATTCTCCTCTTTCGTCTAATCCCACTCTTAACTCCTTTATTCTCTTCAAACTGTATGGGTGCCTACATCGTTCAAGGTCTGGCAGTAGGTACTGGAGAGAATAAACAGATCCTACTCTCCTGACATTCACAGGCCAATAAAGAAGTAAATACAGAATGGCTGTAATGAAAGAAGAAACATAAATAACATG